AAAAAAAAAAAGAGTGAAGGTGAGGATTGAATTTAGGGTCTCCCGCCCATAACCACCTGAGTCATATCCCAAGGCCAGGTTGTAGGCATGACTCCATGGTAGAACACTGTGAGCAAGCACAAGGCCCCCGAAAAATAAGTAAACCTTAAATTTGTTTTTGTTTGTTTTTAATCTTCACAATGGCAGGGAGTAAAATGCAGTCCACCATCGGCTAGGAGAGAATGAATTTTTCTTTTTCTGCTTACAGCGGGACTGAGCCTCTGGAATCCAGGGGAGGCAGCCTTTCACCCAGTCAGCTGTCCACCAACAGTGGGACCTTGGGTAAGCAAGGTCATCCTCTGGATCCACTCTCATCTGCAAAATGCCGTGCTCAGAGGTGGGCCCTCCACAGAAGGCTCTGGAAAGATTCAAAGAGGGAGGCTGAGGGCTGCAGGCCAGTGGCAGAGCACTTGCCTAATGTACCTGAGGTCCGGAGTCCCTCCTTCTGTCCCTAGCCTAACACAGAAGCTCAAACAAGAGCAACCAAAGCGGACGAGGTGGAGAGCATTGTGGAAAAAACAGTTCCACAGGCAGGGCCAGCAAGATGGCTCAGGGGGTAAAGGTGCTTGCCGCCAAGCCTGAGGACCCGAGTTCAATCCCCAGAACCCACACGGTGGGAGGAGAGAACTGACTCTCAAAAGATGTCCTCTGACCTTCACCCACGCCCCATGGCACACGCACTCAACGTCTACACACAAAATGAATCAATTCATCATATAAAGGGAGCTCAATCTATATTAGAAATCATTGTGGTTATCCAATGTGTTCTTTTTTAAATAAATTTCCTTTTTTTTAAAAAAAAGATTTATTTATTATGTATACAGAAGAGGGCACCAGATCTCATTACAGATGGTTGTGAGCATCTCATTACAGATGGTTGTGAGCCACCATGTGGTTGCTGGAAATTGAACTCAGGACCTCTGGAAGAGCAGTCGGTGCTCTTAACCTCTGAGCCATCTCTCCAGCCCATCCAACGTGGTGTGTGTGTGTGTGTGTGTGTGTGTGTGTGTGTGTGTGTGTGTGTGTGAATGTGTACAAGCCTGTGTATTCATTGAAAGGCCGGGTGTCTCTCTCTATTGCGTTCCATCTCATGTTTTGAGCGAGGGTCTCTTATTGGACTTGAGACTTGCCTTGGGCTGGGCTGGATGGACATCGAGTTCCTGGGACCCATCTTCCTGTCTCTGACTCCCGGTGCTTCTACATGGGTGCTGGGATTTGAGCTAAGATCATCTTGCTGTCCAACAAGTTCCCATTTCCTCGCCTATGTATCCCAGGCTGTGCTCATTCTTACAATCCTCCTGCCTCAGCTTCCACACCTCATTTGCTGTGCTGTCTTATTTCTTCAATGTTTAAAAATTATTATTTTATTTTATGTGTATGGGTCTTCTGCCAGCATGTATGTCTGTGTACCACGTGGGTGTCTGGTGCTGGAGGAGGCCAGAAAAAGGGTGTCAGACACTATAATCCCAGCACTATCTAGGCAGAAGCAGGTAGATCTCTGTGAGTTTGAAGCTAGCCTGGTCTATATGGCGAGGTTCAAGCCAGCCAGGCCTACAAAATGAGACCCTGTTGCAAACAACAACAAACAAACAATAACAGAAGGGGAGCTGGAGAGATGGCTCAGGGGTTAAGAGCACCGGCTGCTCTTTCCAGAGGACCCGTGTTCAATTCCCAGCACCCACATGGTGGCTCACAACTGTCTGTTAACTCCAGTTTCAGGGGATCTGATGCCCTCTGCTGGTTCCCCTGGGCACTGCCTGCACATGGTACACAGGCATCCATTAAGGCAAATCACCTATACACATAGAAACAAACTGTTTTTGCTGTTCTGTGTAGTATCATTTGAGATCCCATGCTAGGACCCAGTAGTGATCTTTCCGCTCACATTGCTTGGTTTTCTTGGGATCTTTTGTGCTTCCTAATTCAACTTCTTCCTGGGATCAAAGGCGTGCCCACCTTGATGGTCTCAATCCACTTTCTAATAGTTCTGTGAAGTAGCCACCATAGCCAGGCTTGGCGGTGCCTGTCTGTAATCCTGCACATACAGGAGGTCAGAGAAGGAGCACCGTGAGTTCGAGGCCAGTCTGGGTACATAGCAGACGCCATCCCCGAACAACAAAGAGAGCTTGGGGAGATGGTTCAGTGGGTAAAGTAAGGGTGAAGACCCGAGTTTGAAGTCCCCAGAACCCACACAATGCCTGGTGTGTCCATAATCCCAGTTTCCTAGGGTGAGGGGGCAGAGACCGGAGAATTCTGGGGAGCTTAAAGGCCAGCTAGCTTGGGGCATGCCACACAGTGACTGTCAACAAAAAAGTGGCAAGAGAGATAACCACATCTGAAGTACACACCCCTGTGCACACACACAGGCACATGCACACTCTCAGATGCACACACATGTGTGCACACTTGCACACACTCACGCATGAATGCACATCTACACACAAAGGAATGTACATGAATGTGTATACACACACACACACACACACACACACACACACACACACACACACACACCACTGCTTTCTCTCCACACCAGCATCAAGCACATTCCCATTGTACATCAGGGTTTCCCGGCTTCCTTGGCTTGCCTTCCTTGGCGTTCAGGTTGTTAGTATAAACAACCCCATTGGTTGGTGTCTCCCTCTTCTCCGGTCTCCAGGTTCCATTTCCCCCATAAACAACTCTACTTTCCTTAAGTCTCTGAGCAAGTACTAAGATTTTTGTTGTTGTTGCTCTTTTAAGTTTTATAAACTTTTGAAAAACATCAAGTCCTCGGTCCTGACCACTGGTTCCTCTCGGATCCTCTCCTCTCTGCACGCAGCCCTTTACCCGGCGTCCCCTAACTTTTATGACAATGCCATTGGCGTAGGCAGTGGCCATTATCTGTGGTTTTAAGATGAGGAGGCTCGGGCTTAGAAAGGTTAATGAGTTGTTCAAAGTCACACAGCCAGCTTTATCTGATCCCAGAAAAGTCTGGGACTCTTGAACAATTAGCTTTGCTTAAACCAAGAGGCGCCTGCGATTTCCTGCCGTGGAGGACAGGCGGCCACCAGCGGCCGAGGCGGGCATTCGCCTCTGGGGCTCTGCTGCCCCCTGGTGGCTACGCGTGGCCACGTCAGTCCGCACGTTCAGGGTAGGAAGAAAAAGAAAAACCAGTGTGTTGCTTCCAGAAGCCTCCACTGACACCGCACACCAGCAATCACAAGGTCACTCAGGGTCACGTGGCTGGCTAGAGCAAACGTTATTTTTTACGGTTGTTTATTTACTTACTTGTTTCATTATTGTTTGTTGGAGACAGGGTTTCACTTTGGAGCCCAGATTGGCTTAGAGCTAGGTAGCCCAGACTGATCTTGAACTCTCTCCAGCCCTCCTGCCTCAGCCTCTAAACTGCTGGGATTACAAACCTGTATCACTTCGTTCCTGCTGGGGCAGGCCGTGGTTTTTTTCTTTTGTTTTTGTTTTTTTTGTTTTTTCCTGTACTGAGATTACACTTGCAAATTCACCCAGGTGCAAGTCCAGCACTCAACATCCAGGCTACATCCCCAAAGCCTCCATGGGACTGGGATTTGGCCAATTAAAAGCTTTCTTTCAGCTGGACCTAGTGGCTTGCACCTTTAATCCCTGCACTTGGGGAGCAGAGGCAGGTAGAGATCTCTGTGAGTTCCAGGGCAGCCAGAGCTATTACACAGAGAGACCCTGTCAAACAAAAACAAAAACAAGCCTACAGTAACTGAATAAACATTCTTTGATTACATTTTTTATTTATTTATTTATTACATTTATTCATTAATTCATTCATTCACATGGGTGCACACACACCACGATGTTCATACAGAAGTTTCTCCTCTCCATTTCACGGTGTGGGTCCTGAGGATTAGACTCCGGTCCTTCACCTTGTCACCAAGCCCCTCTCCCTGCTGAACTATCCTATCTTGCAGGCTCCAACCGAAAGCTTTCTGTGGCTGGCTTCTGTGATTGGCTCTAGGAAGGCCCTCACACCCAAGGGACTGTGTTCCTGGGTCCTGGAGGGAAACACTACCTTCTTTTAGTTTGGGGGTGCTGGCTGCGGTGATGTCAGCGTGCTGTGACCCAGAGAAGTTCCGCTGAAGATCAGTGACGCAGACGGTGCAGAAGCTGCCTGGACCAAAACCAGGGAGGCCCCGGCCGTCCCCAGACTGTTCGAGATGGGTTTTCGTTTGTTTGGTTTTCACTTACAATCATTGGTCTTCTCTGATGTGCCTACCAATCATACACAGAGATAGAATATCAATACTGATACAGCAAAATCATAATACTAATAATATGGATTTTTTTCAAATGGTTGGCGTTTGCTTCACCACCTCACCCCCAACCCCTCCGCAATGCTTCCCATACATTTCTGTTTGACAGGGATTCACTGTGTAGTGCAGGCTAGCCCTGAGTGTAATGGTCCCCCTGACTCACTCAGCCTTTCCTTTGGTTTAATGAATAAATTCTCCATCATCATTACTGTGTCTGTGCTCTACGTTTTGTTTCAGTGTGCTTCATTTTTGTTTGTTTTTTAAAGATTTATTTATTTATTATGTATACAGTGTTCTGCCTGCAAGCCAGTAGAGGGCACCAGAACTCATTATAGATGGTTGTGAGCCACCAGGTGGTCGGTGGGAATTGAACTCAGGACCTCTGGGAGAGCAACCAGTGTTTTTAACCTCTGGGCCATCTCTCCAGTCCTCGCTGTGCTTTGTTTATGACAAGGTTACACGTAGCCCAGGCTGGCTTGACTTTTCCTAAGTGGCCAAGGATAGCCCCGAACTCTTCATCTTCCCGCCTCTGACTCCAAAGAGCGCCGGTGTGACAGGCGTGGGCCACCACTGTGGCTTTCCTCTATAGACTGGTATCTGGTGGTGGTATGGGCCACCACCGCCCGGCTTGTTTTTTTCTGTACTGAGATTACACTTGCAAATTCACCCAGGTGCAAGTATCTGTTTTGTATCTTTCTCCCTTTGCCCCTTCACCTGGTTTACCTACAGGGAACCAGTTTTATAGTGTTTGAAAAAGAGGCGCTCAACTCAGAGAGCAGATGTTTCAGAGCCCTGTGCCTCCCCACACACACACTCAGCTGTCTCTTCAGGTTAAACCACGAAAACCTCAGAACCTCAGTTTCCCCAAGCGTAAAACAGGAAAGGCAAGCACCCAGGATGTTGTTCGAATCTTAAATGGTCTTATAATAAAAATAAACCCTGAGCCAGATATTGGGGTGAAAGCTGACAGATCAGAGTAGCAGAACAAGCCACAGCCACCACCTCTTGCCTCAACAACTCCTTGGTTTGGAAGAGCTCAGCCAATAGGCCTCTAGCCGAATGAGCTTCCTCAGCTGAAAAGGCTTCTAGTTCCTGTCTCCTCACGCCTTGTAGACCTTTCTCCACCCTGCCATCACTTCCTGGGATTAAAGGCCTGTGTGCTTCCCAGTACTGGGATTAAAGGTGTGTGCCACCTCTACCTGGCTCTGTTTTCTGTTCTAAACTGAGTCAATCTCATGTAGTTCAGGGTGACTTTGAACTTACAGAGATCCTAAGGATCTCTGCCTCCCGAGTGCTAGGATTAAAGGTGTGTGCCACCACTGTCTGGCCTCTACATTTAATCTAGTGGCTTGTTCTGTTCTCTGATCTTCAGGTATATTTTATAAGGGTACACAATATATCACCACACCAGGATGCGAAGGTTGACGTGACTCAGCTAAGTCCTGGGACAGGGCAGGTTCTTGATATTGGTGAATAGGCTTTATCTCACGAGGCTATTTTTCCCCCTAGTAGTTTTAAGGTCACGGTCAAGGTTCAGGAGAGGATGTGGCCGGGAGAAGGAAATGCCTGGGGTTGAGTTTTCCCACCATGAACCTTTCTCTAGGTTAATCAGCATGGATATCAGGGACTCAGGACACTGTTGTGTGTCCCGAGAGAGGACAGAATCCCCATAAGCCCTAAGGCCTCCAGCCGATGTCTTCCCACACTCAGCAAGGCCAGTTCCCACAATCTTAGACCTCTCCAAGGAATAGTAGAGTGAGGGAACCAAAATGAGTCCTACTGTGTAGGACAACTCCAAGATGCTCCTTCATTGACCAGAAGCTGGGAGAATAAGTCCCAAGGAAGGTGAAAGACTAAGTCTGTAGGCTCCATCTTGAGGACTCCCCATCCTTGGTTGTGATGGAGCTAAGCCTGAGAAAGGACAGCCAAGGCTGACTTCTGACTTCCATGTTCATGCATGTACACCACATGCATACACACCATGTATGCATCTGCACACACCTGCACACACCCCATGAGTGCATCTGTGAGAGCACACACACACACACACACACACACACACACACACACACACACACACAGGATGATTGTGGACCTCTGTCTCTCTGTACTATTCTTTGTGCCCAGGCTCAAGATGGAGTGATCGGCTTTCCCACAGCATGAGCTCTTCCCTAAAGCAACGATACCACCTGATCGTGAGCAGGAACCTTTTGGAACAAAACTTTTGTCCTTGTAAACTGATTATCTTGGGGATTTTTTGCCATCTTGGTGGTAACTCCTCTTTCCTTGTGTGTGTGTATATAAGGCAGGGACTCTGCCCACCATGGCTATGCCCATCTAGCTTGGGTCACTCAGCGTGGTCAGGTTGAGAGGTGCATAGGGAATTAGCTGAGGCTACCCCTGGGTGTGTCAGGATTTCACATCAGGAGATAATCCAGCTGTGGGGAGGGGAGGTGGAGTTCTGACCTAATCAAGGGTTTGGTCCCTGGGTTGGTTCATGACATGATGGCGTGGGGACTTGGCTGAAGGTGGGTGACAGGACCCAGCTGGGATGAGGCGTGTGTTGGAGGTATATGTTGGGGACTCTTCTGCCCCAACCCCTTCCTGTGTGTTCTTTGCTTCTGGGCTCTCAGTGACACAATGTATAGCCATTTCTGGAAAAAAAAAAATACAAATGTTTCTTTTAGTAAAAATCTAAAGAAAGACAGAGACATCACATCTTTCTCCTCTTATTTATTTTAATTTCCCCTCTTTTTGTCCCTCCCTCTCCTTCCCCCTTCTCTTTCCCTTATTTATTTTTCTATTTGACGGTCCCACCATGTAGCCCAGGCTAGCCTCTATCTTACAGTCCTCCTGCCTCAGCTTTCCCAAGGGTGGGGACTCAGGCATGTACCATATATTTTATCATTTACATATTTCTTTATTTCAAAGACAAGAATGAAACAACGCCTGCTTCATAGGGAAGCTAGAAAAATTACAAGTCATCTATGAGAAGTTTCTGGAACACGTGAACTGGTCACTAAATGGTTTGGGGGATATCCCTGGAGCTCATCCTCGGAGCCATGGGAAGCGCCTAGCAAGGCCTTCTATGTCTCGTAGATGGTGCAGAGAGGTTAAGCCACGTGCCTAGGGGATCACACCGCTAATTCACAGACTCCCGGGATTTAAACCCAGGCAGCCAAGCTGTAGTACAAATGGTTTAGGCACCAAACTGCCTCTCAGTGAGGGGATCAAGTTGTTTTATTGTCAAAGCTGATGTGTGAGCTGCAGAAAAGACCCAACCCAGAGAACCAGGAACCAGAAACCAATGGCGAGGAGGCACCGATGGACCGGGAGGTCAGCACTGGCTTTAGGCTGTGTCCTCTACTGCTGCCCAGGGAACATTCCCTCACCTTCCCAACGGCCAAAGGCCGGGGGGACCTACCTGCAGGTATCCCGGTTGCCTCCTACCTGAAGTCGCCTGGCCTCAGAGCAGATGTCTGCTCAGCCCACACCATGCCCTGCCCGTAGTGTTTTCATTTCATTTTATTTATTTCTTAATTACAGATTTGGTTTTGTCTTGGTTTTAACAGGAAAATAACAAGGGCTTGCTACAAAAAAAAAAAAAAAAAAAACAGTAAAACAAAGGGCGGAGGAAACGTTTTCTCCCACATTCTAGAACCCCACTCCCAAGAGGAAACGAGGGTCACTAACTTTGTGAGTGGCTGTCTTTGTGTTTAATGACTTTCCTTTGGGGGAGGGGCAGTGCTGAGTGAGGATGGAACCCAGGACCTCACACGTGTGACATGAGCACAGTACCACCAAGCTACAGCCCCGACCCTTAATTTTTTTTTTTTTTAAATCTTTAGGGATAGAAAATGTTACATAATCTTACTTTCTCAAAAGCTGTGATTTTTTTAGTGTATGGTGTATAACACCCACCTTTCCACGTCAGTGCATTCAACCCCCTAGGGAGTGTCTCCCAACTCGGCCAGGCTGAAGTTGGTTTTATAAATCTCCAGCTGATGGATATGGAGGTTGCTTCCTTTTGCTGTTCTTGGCTATAAACAATTCTGTGTGGCCCGGGGAAATAGCTCAGTGCGTAGACAGCTTGCCCAGGACGCAGCAAGCCCTGGGTCCCATCTAGAGCCAGACACCTGCCATCCTGCCATCCCAGCACTGGGGGGGGGGGGGAGAGAGAGAGAGGGAGAGGGAGAGGGAGAGAGAGAGAGAGAGAGAGAGAGAGAGAGGGGGGGGGGGGAAGAGTTCAGATTAATCAAGGGCTGCATAATACAGTGGGTTTGAGGAAGCTTAGGCTGCACACGAGAGTCTGCCTTAAATAAATAAATAAACAAAAACAAAGCTGTATTGTTGCTTCATGATGTGTCTTTTATTGTTGGTTTTTTAAAGATTTATTTATTATGTATATAGTGTGTATCCCTGTAGGCCGGAAGAGGGCGCCAGATCTCATTATAGATGTTTGTGAACCACTGTGTGGTTGCTGGGAATTGAACTCAGGACCTCTGGAAGATCAGCCAGTGCTCTTAATGTCTGAGCCACCCCTCTGGCCCTTGTTTGTTTGTTTGTTTGTTTGTTTGAGACAGGGTTTCTCTGTGTAGTCCTACCTGTACTGAAACTCACTTTGTAGATCAGGCTGTCCTGGAACCCTCTGCCTCTCTAGTGCTGGGACTAACTAATGGTGTATTTCTGAATGACAGGTTAGTAGAATGGTTTGTGAGACACAGTCTCTCACATAAGTTCATTGTCTCCATGAGCTAGCGCTCTCTCTCTCTCTCTCTCTTTCTCTCTCTCTCTCTCTCTCTC